AAAGAAGGATCACCGTCTTGCGCCCAGCCCAGCACCAGTCAGTGTCTGGCATTCTTCGGTCCGCCTCACCGGGTCACCTGCGGTCCGCTCCGCCTCACCGGAGGCTGAATCACTTCACCCGCTCCTTCGCCTGGAGTCGCTGCCGCTGCTGCGGCCGGCGGAAGGTCATGGGTGAGGAGGTGGTGGACTACGCCGTGGCCTGAGCAGCTGTGAAGTGACAGTTCTGGTGGCGAATGGACACCCCATTCGCCTCTCACAGACGTGACTAGACACCCTTCAGGGGCCCTGAGCTCAGGGCCCCCTGGTATTTACACGACTTACTTCTTCCTTGTGCCGTGACTGGTGTGAGTTTCAGACAGTCTGTTGTTCTGCGGTCCATTTTCCAGATTCCAATGTCAGTTGAAACATGTCCAGATCTCCATGTTGATTGAAAGGTTCCTTCGCGCAAAACCGATCTGATCAGATCTGGTGTTCAATGGGTTTCGTTTTGACCCATCAGTTGGGTCAACATGCGTCAATGTAGGTCCAGTCACTCCAATCCCATGGAGAAATATTGCTAGTGCTTGCCAGCGGCACGGCGTCTTTTCCTATTCTACAGCTCGAACCCCGAAGATGTCAGGTTTGGTATGCCTATCCTCGAGCGCCCTCGACCTGGGGTGATATCTCGGCGGACTTCGACAGCCACTCGGCGGCGGTCACGAGCTCGGTTCCCCCCCGGCGACGCGGCTCCGGTGCAGAGCCGAGCCTGGCAGAGCCGAGCCGAAGAGCACTTTCGGATGTCATCATTGTGTCATCCTATTCCCAGAACCACGACCTGTCTGCACGCCCAGAGGCCGACGCGCACCACCCCACCACCCCGGCCGCTTCGTCTCTACGGCAGACGGGTCGCGTCTGGACCTGCTCGACCGGCCTGCATGGGCCCCTCTGCGTGGCCTGCCGGACTCGCGGTGGGACCCACCGACCGACCGTCCCGGAAACACAGAGGCATGGATATGAACGTCCACGAGAAGATGTCCGAGCTGCGCCGCGAGATGCGCGAGGGCTTGCAGAAGGTCATCGAGAAGAGTCAGGAGTTTTGTTCTGACTGGTGCAACTGGTGCAACTCACAGATTCCCGAAGTGTGGGGATTCAGCCACCCTCATCCCGTGCACCAATCAGTTTTGAGTCAGCATGTGCAATGTACACCAGCGGTTGTACCAGCGGTCGTGCCAAGAGTTGTTGTTTTCCCATGAACCGCGACGTTTGGCAGAAAGAGTTGGGCCAAAAAACTTAAGGTGGCCCTGAAGGGTCGCAAAAGAAACCACTGCAGGTAAAATTGAACTTTTGTTTGCCGGGGGGTTCACTACTTATAAGTCACAAAAGTGATGAACCAAGATTGGAACCATTGGACTGCCATTAGGTGGGACAAGGGAAGTGAGCAGTGGCCCTCTTGGAAGGCGATGTTCCTTTGCCAATGGGCGGTCTTTCGCTTCCACGTTTGTTGAACGGAGGGTAGGTTGACACCTGACCAACCTATAGCAACAGGGACTTGCTGAGTTTACAGACCATTCTCTTTATACTAGTATCTCTTTATAGTCTTGACTCCCAGGGTAGTTCCAGGGCATTTGCAATTGCACTGTGCAAAACAATGTTGATTTTTTTGGAGAAAGGGTTTTACTATGCTTTACTAACCATCGTCCGCTGTTCGTGGTCATGTGTGTGCATGACCAATTGAACACGCTTCTATCACTTGCAATGTATCCGATAGCCACAGCATTCCTTCCGACAAAATTGGTCACATCCAAAAACATGGCCGAAGTGTTTTGCCCGGACACCCAGCTGGGCGACGTTTTCATGCGTTGATTCTCATCAACAATGTGATACCATGATATCATATATACCAGTTCATCATCATCATCATCATCATCATCATCATCATCATCATCATCATCATC